TCCTATTCTTTCTTTCTTATAATGTATTTTATAGAGTTCTTACACATATATTTCCTTATGTTATGTGTGAGTGAGTGAATCTGTGTTTACAAATAAGTATTATAATCATACAAATATAAATTATATATTTTATAATATAAAAATTTTATTAGGAAGTTTCATATATAAATAATTCTATTATAGGTTCTTAAATTATTTATCACTAAATAAATACTATGATAATTATTATGACAAAATATATCAATCTATATAAAAGTACATTTCATTTATTTTAAATATTTTAGTTAGGCTTTAAAATTATATATAATATTAATTGTAAGAAAATTTATATGGTATTATTATATATACTATACATTAAAATAACTTATATTTTTAATTCTTTCCAAAGCAAGAAGGTAACACTATTATTATGTTGAAATAGCAGAATAAACTGGAATATGATACAGTGAAACATCAGTATAATGAAAGTGTTGATGTTCATAGTAGAGAATATTTATATCTCATTCATATAATTTCTGCAGGTTTTGACTTCAAGCTCTGCAGTGTTTTATTGGCGCTTGATGCTCAATCACCAAATATTGCAGCAGGAGTTCATGAAAACCGTAGTGATGAAGAAGTTGGCGCAGGAGATCAGGTCAATTAGTATTCTGATCTGCTCATTCGAGTTTTCTGTTCTTCTTTTTGTTCTACTGCCTAGCATAGTTACTCCTTTTTAGTTCCTGAATAATATATTTGTATATATTTGTTTTCCCTATTTTCAATTGTTTTCTATGTACAGTAGTAATAGAATATTCTTATATCATTATTATATATTTATAGACATATGTTTAATTTTAATAGTAGTATCGTATAGCTTATTCTTTTTTCATGTTTCTTCTTGTTATGTATAGGTTTATTACATCAAACTTTCATTTCTTAGTAATAGTTAATTGTTGTTCATGATTATTATGAAAGCATGTATAAATTATTGGAACTTAGCTGATAACTTAGAATGTATTTCTTTTTTAGTATTTCTTCTACTATCTTTCAGTTTAATTAAGAACTTACACAATTATCTAATTAATTGTGTTAAAAAAAATGATTTTACAATCTTGTAATATTGTTTGTTAATACTTACTCTTTCTTAAAAATTCTTTATAAATATTTATTAACATTTTATTCATGATTATATTTAAATTAAAATTTTTTTCATATACTAGTAATTTTACATTTTTCTTTTCATAATTGCTGATTCAAATGTAACTCAAATGTATTTTAATTAGTTTTGGAAATCTTATCTCAAATTTATATTATTTTATTATTAAAATATATACTCTGTAAATAGTAATCTATAACATTTTATTACATAATAAAAATTATTAATTTAATTGTTAATTAAAAAATATTGTATATAGTTGTCCCAATATTGATTAGTAATTCTGCTCTGTGTGACACCTTTCTTGTATTTTATTAAATGAATTTTATAGTATATTATATATAGTTATGTGCAAATTCCAAATGTAAATTAACACATTGAAACTGTATGTTGTGTGCACGTTATTACTTTATTAATGCTTAATTTCCTATATTAAGAACTTACACAATATTGCAAATTAATTAAAAGCACAATAAATCTTTTTCCTGCTTCAAGTTTACATCTTATAAATTTTAGTTTATAACTCAAATTATTATCTCAGGGTCTGATGTTTGGATATGCAACAGATGAGACCGATGAATGTATGCCATTAACTGTTGTCCTGGCACATAAATTAAATCAGAAAATTGCAGAATTAAGGCGAAGTGGAGAATTATGGTGGGCAAGACCAGATTCAAAAACACAAGTATGACACTATTAATAAATTGAAGCAATATATATTTTAATAATATTTAAATAAATTTAATAATTTATATCAATATCTACAATGATGTCATATAGTATTTGCTACTCTTGAGTGCCATGATGTAATATATATTACTGAGAATAATAATAATTATTATAAATTATATATATATTCTTGAATATATTTTATTTCTGATATTTTAAAAATTATAAAATAGGTCACTTGTGAATATGTAATGGATCATGGTGCCTGTGTACCTATAAGAGTACATACTGTAGTAGTATCATTGCAACATAGTGAAAAAATTTGTTTGGAAGATTTACGTAAAGTAGTTATGGAAAAAATTATTAAAGAAGTAATTCCAGCAAGGTATTTAGATGATAAAACAATCTTCCACGTTAATCCTTGTGGATTATTTATTATTGGTGGTCCACAGGTAAAATATATATTTTTTATATTTTATATATTTAGTTAATTAATAATTTTAAATTAATTTTTGTAAATTATATTAATATTTGTTTATTTATTATATTATTAGAGTGATGCAGGTCTTACTGGTCGAAAAATTATAGTTGATACATATGGTGGTTGGGGAGCTCATGGTGGAGGAGCATTTTCTGGCAAAGATTTCACAAAAGTTGATAGATCTGCTGCTTATGCAGCAAGATGGGTTGCTAAATCTTTGGTGAAAGCTGGTCTTTGCAGACGATGCCTTGTACAAGTATAAATTACCGATATTTTTATTTTATTATTATTATTATTA